ATATATTGAGAAGTTTTCTAAACTCTATTTCTAGCTTTTTTATATATTTGATTATCATTGTTATTAAGCTAGAACTACATTGAGTTTAGTTTTGATTTATATCTCTTTGTTCACACACAACCTATTGAGCTTATTGTATTTACATTCATAGTATAATTTAGGGTTGTGGGTTTGTGACATTGAGAGTGAGCTTAATTGAGTTCTCATCTTGTTAGAGAGAACAATCATTTGTTATATTGTGCTTATTGTGAGAATCACTTTGTAATACACGTGTACACCGAGTGAGAAGTGTGTGGTGAGAGTCGGGGATCGTCCCAAGAGGAGTGGCGTCGGTTGACATGCCTAGGGAGAGGTTGTAACCGAGCACTTGAGGGAGACACGGCTAGGTCCAACACTTAGTGGGTGTAGAGTGTGATTGCAAGAGTGTGAGTTGTAGAGTTTTCGGTTAGCTAGAAAACCGAGTGTGTAGAAGAAGTTCCGGCTTCCAAACCGGATTGTGTTAGTGGATTTCTCCCCGGGAGTGGGGAGCGGAGACGTAGGACGGAAGGTCCGAACTCCGTGATCATATCGCTTGTTTGAGTTTGTCTTTGGCGTAGTTGTTTTTGTATTTATTTTATATCGCCAATTGTGCATTGCTCATTCACTTTATCCACTATCTTGTTTAGATGGTTTATCCCTTGTGTTAGTTTATATATCCTTGCATATATATATATAATTCATCATATAGGATATATCTCATTGTTTATATTGCATATTCTTGCACATAACTCTTTGTATATCTATCTTGCAAGAATATAGTTGTTAATTATTTTTAATTGGCATTTAATCGGATTAGATTAGCATAAGACCCTAATCACCCCCCTCTAGGGTCCAACAGAGGGTACTTCAGATATTCAACATGGAGAATGATAAGCCCGTCGGCACGCTCCTTGAAAGTCAATTCAAATTATCTGGGGAGCAATCACCCAAGACAAATGCAGAAAAGGAGCACATGAGCAGGGTGTCATACTCATCAACCATTGGTAGCCTTATGTACACGATGATTTGCACGAAGATGGATATCACCCATGTAGTGAGTGTTGTGAGCAGATTTGTAAGCAATCCAGAGAAGCAACATTGGGAGGCCGTGAAGTAGATATTGCGTTATTTGAGAGGGATTACGGATATGTAATTGTGTTTCAGGAGGAAAAAATTAGTACTGCAGGGACATGTGGATGCAGATTTCCCCGGTGATCATGATACAAGGCGAAGTACCACAGGGTATGTTTATACCTTAGTGTCGACAGCAGTGAACTGGGTCTCACATTTGCAGAAGATAGTAACGTTGTCCACGACTGAGACAGAGTATGTCACAGTGACTGAAGCCAGGAAGGAGATGATTTGGTTGACTGGGTGCCTAGAAGAATTAGGTTTGAAGCAGGGGAACGACGCTCTTTATTGTGATAGCCAGAGTGCTATACACATTGTCAAGAATCCAGTATATTATGCCAGAACAAAGCACATCGACGTATATTACAACTTCATACACTCGCAGATTGAGGACGGCAAGTTACGATTGGAGAAGATTTTGGAGAGCCAAAATTCTGCGGATATGTTGACAAAAACAGTGACTATCGACAAACTAAAGTTGTACGCAACTTTAATTGGCCTTCACGCATAGGAGATGAAAGCGGAGCCACACTATGAGGATAGGCGGGATCGCCGGGTTGATAATGATTGAAGAATAAATTTTTCTGAGTAAGAGAAGATGCTTGCGAAAAAGGCGTGAGTTCGCGAGAGCTCTCGTCTCCAAGTGGGAGATTGTTGGTTTTGAAAGTGTGAAGACCGAAACCTGACGAAGAAATAATCAAAGAAACTGAAAAACCCATCTTCGATCGACCGACGAAAGTGGTTCGGTCAACCGAGAAGCCTGTAGAAACAGCCCAGGAAGTTCGCTCTGTTCGGTCGACCGACACAAGCTCATCGATCGACCGATGCAAAGTCAAAAAACATTACAGAAGTTTCGGGTCGGTCGACCAAAAAGCTTGCCCCGGTCGACCGATAAGCTTTCCCCGGTCGACCGAAAAGGTGCACGAGAACCCTGTAAGAAAAAGATGTTCTGGCCGGTCGATCGACGTCGGGATTTCCAGAATCCTGGTTCGTTTGGGAATCTATTTTGGGCTGGGATGCTATATATCTTGATATGTTTTAGGTTTGTGTAATACGAAAAAGGAGGGTTTTGACGGCACTTTGAGATCAAAGATCTTAGAGAGAGAGACCTATTGTGAGCATTGTAATCTTCTTCAATTAATCAAAGTTTTTTTGTGTGGCTCTCGAGGACATAGGCATGTTTGTCGAACCTCGTTAAATATGGTGTTCTCTGGTTTGATTATTCTTTCCTGCATGTTTTTTTTATTTGCTGTGATTTCCTGCTTGTCTACTTTCGACACAAGATTCGGAAGGACAAGGGTTGTATGTTCAACCCCAACAGAGGGAAAGGGAGGATATTATATATATATATATTATATATATATATATATATATATATATATATATAGTAGTTATATATTATATATTATATATATACGAATTATAATATATATAGTATATATATACTATATATATAGAGAGAGAGAAGAGAGAGAGAGGTTGGAGATCACCAGAGACACAAGGCCTCACCAATAGGGGGTAGCTAGGTAAAGGGGTAGAGTAAGAGTACAATAATCTTTGTTGAAAACTCACTCTATATATGAAGATGTGACTCAACAATCACCAAAGTAGGGTCACGAGACCCCTATTTTAGTGAAGGAGAAGAGGCCTCTGAAGTTTGGTGATTTGTCAAATAACTCCCTTTTAGCTTCTAAAATGTCGAATCCCACCCCACCCCACCCCCACCAACTTTCATGATTCCTAAGAAACCTCTCTAAACTTTTGATGTTTTTTAAGATAAATTCCTAAAAGTTTGAACACAATTTCAGTAGCAAAAATATCTCCATGCGTAATTTTATCGACCCGCATGAAAATTGTGGTTAATGCCATTTAAGGTTTCTTATGAAACATGTTTGAAAGTTCAAGAGGATTCTAATAACCCTAAAACTTAAGGAGGGTTTTGTGTAGTTTAAATGTTGGGGGGGAGGGGGGTCATCTGAGAAACACTCAAACTTAGTTTTACTAATGATGTGATTATGTAGTTTCTTTCAAAATATAAAAACTCGTCGCGAGCAATAATAACATTTTTTTAATTGGCAACTATGTAGTAACACCATTTTCCAAAAATTGTGGATCAGCCCTTGTATATATGAGGGGTATTTAACTTCAATCCAAAGAATGTATAAACATATCAGCAACACTAACGTTTGAGAGGTAAAGCTACATATATGATAGATAATCGGGAAAATAGTAGTAAATTAAATACTAACGCAGATGAAAAAGTTTCAACTATATATAGTGAAGGAAATTCAAGAAACTTCCCTAAACTTTCAAAATTTCCCATCAGACACCCCCCACCCCCACCAAAAAAAAAATGTTAACGGATTAACGAACACTTTTTTTTTACAATGCTTTATGGATTAAAATGTTGGTCAAGATAAAAACAACTCATGCACTGAGTTTAGCACAAATAATCATGATGCAATGGTCTTAGGGGTATACACTAAAAAATAGAATAAGAAATGAGTGCATTAAAAGGCGATGAGAGGTTGCTCCTATTGAGGATAGGATAAGAAGTGAAGGGGACAAAAAGGTCTAGAGGTTCCTAAAAGGGCTTGGTTTAGAAGCTATTAAGAAAGATACAATAAAGTATTAATTTAACAGTGGAGATGAAACAAAACAGAACCAAGTGAAACATTAGAATTCATGTAACCGGACCCAAAAATTTGAGATAAAAGGCTTCGTTGATGTGGCATTACCTTCGCAATCGAAATAACAGCCAGTGGGGCGCTAAATAGCATAAGAGGGTCTATTCGAAAAATTTTAAAGCTCAGAGATGTTTGTAAGATACTCCAAAGTTCACAGGGATTTTGATGGAAAAAAATTCCAGGGGAATTCGTAAGCAAGACCGCAAATTTCAAGCGTATATTTTGGTGAAATTTACCCGAAAAACCCAACAATTTTGGGGATATATATCCTATCAGTTGTTTGGATAAAATAGATTCTACAAGTTGAAATAAACATGACAACAAAAGACAGTCCCGTTCAAAACATTCCACTTTCAGCTCAACACTCAAGTGCCGTGGGAGGCCAAGTGAAAGCCACGATTCCTAAAATGGAAAACTTGAGCACCATATACCAGAACAAGTAAATACAAAAATTCTATTCCTGAATAAATATCCATAAGAAACAAATTTCCAGTAGAAAAGCCCCTATTAAAATAGGTGAAAATAACTAGCCAAATGTGATTGATTTGTTTTCCCCCGCTTCTCAGGAGATATTATTCGTCAAAAACCCAAGTAAAACAATAGAAAAGCGTCTTTGAATTCTGGAACCAATAAACTATAAACATAATCTAAACCGGAAAAAGAAAGGGGGAAAAAAAGAACAAACAGATGAGCAATAATAACTAATAGAAAAATGGTAGGTCCTCAATATAAAAATTAGAAATATAAATAAATAAATAAATATACCAACATCAATAGACAATCCCACTTGCCGAAAGTGTCCCCTAAAAAAGGCATGTCTTTAAATAAGAAAAATACCATTAAAACGCCCTACCTAAAAGCAACAACTCATCCACCTAAAGCCCCAACAACTTGAAAAAAAAAAGTTCTATCAATCAACAACAATCAAACACAATCTCAGTCATAGCATCCAACAGATCAAATAAGAGGATACTTCCCTACCCACAATAAAGTTTCACCCAACTCAAAAATAGAGAAGCGAAACCATCTCCAAATAAACCCAAGCCGTAATCAAGAACTAAATAATCACTAATAAAATGAAAATGGAAGGAGAAAAGATTAGGGAAACCTCCCAAAAACATAATAATAATAATAATAATAGTGGGTAAAGGGGAGGAGCCCAACCTGCTGCATTGCTGGCAGAACCTCTGCTCAATTCCAGCAACCACGACTTTGGGCGACTTAGAGTGCATCCCACAGACTTTGTGCCTGCAATAATAAGCTTTAGCCCCAGTGAGATCGACCAGGCACCCTTCAACCTGGCATCTTGGTGGCTGCTGCTGCTGCTGATTGCTCTGCTGCTGCCCTGCTGAGCTCACCCCCTTCCCCTTCTTCTGTGAAGGAGGAGGAGGAGGAGGAGGATGAGCTGGCGCTGGCGCTGCCATTGACACATTCAAACCCTTAGAAGAGCTCCCACTAGTGTTTCCTCCATTACCCACATCCTCAAAATAAATCTTCTTCCCAAATTTGAGACCATTGAGGGAGTCACTGGCCCCAGAAGAACCTGAACCCATCTCCATTTTCTAGCCCCCCTTTCTTTTTCACTTCACAACCATTGAGGAAAAAAAGGAAACAAGAAAATGGGGAAGGGAGCTAAAAAGCTTTGGGGTTGGTTTTGTTTATAGAGATAGATAGGCTATCATCAACAGTGAAGGCTGTTGGGGGAAAAGAAAGAAAGAGAGGGGTTTTCTGGGGAATGGAAAGCTGACAACTGACAGCAGCTGGGCCATATTTATATTGGGCTTATTACACCACTGCGACAACTTGTCAGCAATGCAAACATTTATACAGTGACATAGGCATGGTAATGTGCCGTACAGCATTCACATCCTCTTTTTTTTTCTTTGTTCTTTTTTTTTTTGACCCTTTTAGGTTACTGTTTTTATTGTAGATACAGGTGAGGACGGCACCAGCGTTGTGGTCGCTCTTGTTTCATTGTTTTCTCCTTACTTGGTGCATTAATTAGGCTAATTGGCCTCATAGGGGTGGTCCTTTTGCTTTAAATGGAGATTTAGATATGCCTTTTTCCCAATGTTGAGGAATTTTCTAAGGATTTTTGAGTACTTTAACAAGTAATAGAGATTGTAAGTACACTTTTGATCTCTTTGAACTTCTTTCATTCTTTCCTCGCTTTGCCAATGGAATCTAGGACGCACCAAAGATGGGTCGACTATTTGACTAAGAATTTTTTCTGTTTTTTAAATTAGTAGATGTGACAAGAAGGAATACTATACTGGGCTGTTTGGTTGGTTTCCTAAAAACCAAGAATAGGAAATGAGAGCATGGAAATATCTCATTTCCTATTCTCAACCATTTCTATTCCTAAAACTTACCATAACATTCAATAAAATATTATTTTATCATCCAACTCATTTAATAAAATATTATTTTATCATCCAACTCATCCAATAAAATATTACTTTTATCCTCCAACATCTAATAAAATATTATTTTTATCATCACATCATCCAACTCATCTCATCTCATCTCATCTCATATTTAAAAATCAATCACATCATCCAATAACATGGTGACAACTCATCTCATCTCCTTAAACTTTCATCTCTACCCATTTCCTCCAAAAAAAATAAGGAAATGATTTCCTTAAGTGTGGGTCACATCATCCAATAATATAATAACAACTCATCTCATCTTATCTATTTTCTTATTTTTAAGAATGAACCAAACACAAGAAAAGAACCTATTATAGGAAATAGGTTTCTCATAATACATTTCCTTTTTTTTAGCCAATCAAACAACCTCAAAACAAGTTTTCTTAAAAAATCACTCACATCATCCAATAATATGACGACAACTCATCTCATCCAATCTCTTATTCTTTAATTTCCCTTTTTTTCCAACCAAACAACCTCAAAATAAAATTTCTAAGAAATGGTTTCCTATTCTTTGATTTCCCTTTTTTTAGGCAAACAAACAGCCCCTACGTGTAAAGTAAATGAGGACATTCACAGTACTGTTGCGCTCGATCGATTTATATATATCCGTGTCTTTCTCAGTAATACAGGATAATTATGCGGGAAATAGAAATGCAGACTAATGATGTGGATACTTCAGCTGCCTAGGTTTTTATCCGGTAATTTCTCTGTGCCAAGAACTGGAAAAACTTTGACATTGGAAGCGAATAACATGTGCATACTAACCAGGTATAACATGGGTCCTTCGCATGTATACACCACAATCTATCATATTTGCAAACTTTCCCCCCACCCCCCCAAAAAAAATCTTGATATTTGTAAATATGACGATTTGAAGGGTATACATGCAAGAACTCACTAATCTTACTTTTACTGATGGACCCTCTAAGTTCTTATCACTTAACACCAAGAACCACCACTGAGTAAGCGATACAAGTCAACACTCTCACTGTGATTTGTACTCCCACTCCCACTGTTCATTTAGTCAAACCTTCCTACAGTTAGGACCACAATCAAAATCTCCTCTCGATTCTTTCCATAAACTAGAAGTCCACTTTCAAATCGAGTGATCAAACCTTCCTACAGTTAGGATCGTCTCAAACCCCCATTTGGGCAAACCTTCCTACAGTTAGGGCCACAACCAAAATCTCCTCTCGATTCCTTCCATAAGCGACAAGACCACTTTCAAATCAAATGATCGAACCTTCCTACAGTTAGGGTCACCTTAAACTCCTGCTTGGTCAAACATTCCTACAGTTAGGGCCAAAACCACAATTTACCTTTAGTTTAGTAATCAGAACTTCTGACAGTTAAGATTATCCGAATCTTTTTGATTCTCGGAGTAGAGATCTCACTCTTAGTTTCACTCTTCAGATTCTCGAGGTGGAGATCCCACTTCGAGTCTCCTTTACAACTAGAGATAGAATATAAAATTCTTCCTCTTCAGTTTTGGGAGATAGAATATAAAATTCTTCTTCTCTTATTTTGGGTTCGTCTTTGCCCCAAGAGAAGACACCATTCTTCAACTCCAAAATCCGTGCTTCACACGTACGGGGAATTTTATCCCGAATCCTAAGTAAGGATAAGTCAATGCCTAACACGCGTTACCGGTTTAGTCTTTCACCGATTAAAAATGCCACCATATTCCAAGTCTGGGGACTTTTATCCCGAAGTCTAAGTAGGGATAAGTCAGCGCCTAACACGTGTTGCCGGTTAGTTCTTAACCGTAAAAAGAACAAAAGCTCACATATTCAATATTGTGGCAGGTTGTTATTCATAACACCATAATCCGTGTCTCACACGTACAGGGAATTTTATCCCGAATCCTAAGAAGGGGATATATCACCTAACACGTGTTGCCGGTTTAGTCTTTCACAGATTGAAAAGACACCAAAATCCAAGTCTGGGGACTTTTATCACGAAGTCTAAGTAGGGATAAGTCAGCGTCTAACACGCGTTGTCGGTTAGTTCTTGACCATAAAAAGAACAAAAACCCACATATTCAACATTATGACAGGTTATTATTCATAACACCATAATCCATGTCTCACACGCACGGGGAATTTTATCACGAATCCTAAGAAGGGGATAAGTCGACGCCTAACACGCATTGCCGGTTTAGTATTTCACCGATTAAAAAAGACACCAGAATCCAAGTCTTGGGACTTTTATCCCGAAGCCTAAGTAGGGATAAGTCAGCGCCTAACACGCGTTGCCGGTTAGTTCTTGACCGTAAAAAGGACAAAAGCCTACATATTCAACATTGTGGTAGGTTGTTATTAATAACAACATAGTCCGTGCCTTACACGTATGGGGAATTTTATCCCGAATCCTAAGAAGGGATAAGTCAACGCCTAACATGCGTTGCCGGTTAGTCTTTGATCGTAAAAAAGACGAAAGCCCACATACTCAACATTGTGGCAGGTGGTTATTCATAACGTCAAAATCCATGTCTCACACACGTGGGGAATTTTATCCTGAATCCTGAGTAGGCATTAGTCAACGCCTAACACATGTTGCTGGTTTAGTCTTTCACCGATTGAAGAAGACACCAGAATACAAGTATGGAGACTTTTATCCTGAATCCTAAGAAGGGATAAGTCAACGCCTAACACGCATTGTCGGGTAGTCTATTCCCGTAAGAAAGACGAAGTCTACGTATTTAATATCGTAGCACTAAAAGAGTTAACTCTTTTATCATAACGTCATACGCGGAACGGACTTAAACAATCCGTATGCAAGCCCGATTCAAACGGTAATCGGTAAAGGCACATCAAATCCGTTAATAGCTGGGGATTTGCCAAAAATCCTAAATCTGCATCTGATACATGTGGTTGGGTAGTCTATTGACGAAGTCTACGTATTTAATATCGTAGCACTAAGAGAGTTAACTCTTTTAGCATAACGTTACATGCGGAACGGACTTAAACAATCTGCATGCTAGCCCGACTCAAACGGTAGTCGGTAAAGGCTCATCAAACCCGTTGATGGCTGAGGGTTTGCCAAAAATCCTATACATATGAGAGTCATTGACGCACCAGCTTCATTAGTTGGTCTCGTGATTTGATCATCCAACAACTTTAGGATAAGATACACACCTGCAGATAAATCAGCTTTAATAGTTGGTCTTGCAACCTCAACACTTGAGACTACTACGCGTTGCGATGAAAGTCAACGCCAGTCAACGTGTTGTATTAAAAAGTCAACGCTGGGCGATCCAAAACCCTAGGTTAACGCCGGTCAACGCGTAACTCTAGGTCAACGCCAATCAACGCGTTGCAATAAAAAGCCAACATCGAGCGATCTGAAACCCTAGGTCAACGCCGGTCAATGCGTAACTCTAGGTCAACGCCATTCAATGCATTGCGATGAAAGTCAACGCAAGTTAATATATTATGATGGAGATAATCAGTTCAAAGTCAACTCGATGATACGAGCCAAAATTAACTCACCAGTTTTGATTCAAGACTTCGATGACGGCCAGATGATAAACGTAGCGCCGGGAGAACTTCAGCTATTCATCAAAATATCGAATAGACTGAAAATCAAAGGAGTCAAGAATTAAAGCTAACTACAGGTCCTTTTACATCGATTGAAGGTTGGACCGATCATATCCAAAGTATTTCAGGCTCATCTATAAAAAAACGAGACTGAAACACTTTGGAGGGGGTATTTGTAGGCGTCAAAAAATTACCTATAGGTCCCCGCACGCTACTCGAGACAGAGAAAAGACAATGAACGTTGCTATTCGAGTCACAAAAGCTCATTTGACGATGACAAATGCATGATGTGAGTCGACGGACCATGCGAAGTAACGAAATTTCAGAATAACGGAAACACGAATGAACCAGGAGCTGCACGTTGCTTACGAAAGATGAAGCGCCCCTCGTGTCCTATTTACTCCATATATGATTCAATCATGGGAGCTTTTAGATCTCCTCGTCTGCTTTCCGACGCATTCTGGATCACGCGATTCTGAGTTCGGATGATGAAAATACGGAGAAAACGGACGGAACGCGCAGACCGAGCCCTAAGCCAAAGTCAAGATGTGACGCCTCAAAGTTCACACACGGCCGCAGTCCCAGGTGAAACCCAGATTGTCAAACCTACCAAGCACCGACCATCATGCTAGGACATGTTTCACTATCACAATCACTATCTCTCTAGTAGAAACAATAAATAGGTGAGGGTACAGACAGGCAAAAATAGAAATAGGCAACACTG